GCACTTGTTAGTGGAATGTGTTCAAAAAATTTAAAGGTAACATTTGGATAAGTTTAATTAAAGTTGCTATTAGCAAGTTACATATGGGGGTGGGGGTGGAGAAAATTGCAACAAAAAGGTAATTTTCATCAACATTCAATGGTACTTTTTAAAATGACAGCTGTTAGGCGAACTCCAGAGAGAAGTGTGCCAAAATTAATGTAATTAATGTAATTAATGTAACTCATATCACCTTTCATACATATTGCTTATATATTATATAAGATACAATCTTGTTATGTAAAATCTTAAAATGAGTATTATCGGCTACTAAACATGGTATGTTGTTTTTCACTAGTACTATTGGGCAGTAAATATATCTTAAAGTTGTTTTCCATTTTTTGTTTCTGGTTGCATATTATTCACATATAATTTCCTGTGTGCCCAGGAATGCATAAGCAAGAACAGATTTAGGAAGGCGGAGCCAAAGAACTTGGCTGATATAAGTTTAAAATACATGAAGACTGTAATATACTTTTCAGCCCCTTCAGTTTCTGTTCTTCATGCTGTTACCTCATTTTCTCCACCTTTCCTGAATTGGATATTGTGACTTGTGGGATAAGGTGTCCGAAAGAGAATAACACTCCTTTGGGATAGTGGAGAACAGATTCATACAGTTGCATGAGCTGCAGTCTATGAGATCTCTTTTGAAATACAAATGCACTACTGCAAGAGACTAAACCATAGATAGAAACAAATCCCTACTAAAGCAATCAAAGCTCTTTGTGAAATCAGTTTTCCCAGGCTTCCAAAATTCAGTCAGCCCAAAAGTATATCTCATCGCTACTTTCTGAATCTAAAATTAAGGTAGAGGTGAGATTTTTCTCGTAACTCATATGCTGCTTTCTTCATGTCATGATATACTTAATATATTACTGAATTACAGAAAAAAAGGATACCTTTAACCTTTGTTATTATTTTTGTTTTGGAAGTAATGAACAGAGATATTATTAGGAAGAAACTGATAAATTTCAATGGACTCTTGCATATGAGATTCAAATTACTCCAGAGTAATTTATTAGGAATACCCATGGCTTTATGAAATTTTTTGAGGCATTAGTCTCTTCTGTAATTTCTCTTCTTAATACCCTTATTGTTTCAACATATTTTGCAAAGCAGAGATTTTATTGAATGAGTGATAACTACTAATGGCATTATTCTTTATCCTTAATAGGAGATCCACATGGAACATTGTGTTAATTTGACGGATATAGCTGTGGAAGCTGTTCTCACATATTGCCCTATGATATATATTCTGTTGTTTCATGGATGCCCACTCGTAACAGGTGACTTGAAATCTTGACTAGAGTAGATTTTCCTAGATGTTCACTGAAAACCACATCAAGTGGCATCAAAATTGCATGCATTATGATCATTAGCTGCAGGATATCATCATGTGCATGACATAACTTGGCTTTGAAAGAAAACATTTCTAACTTCTTTAAACAATATATTTAAAAATGGAAGTCAGTAAAGCAGGGCGAAGCATTAAATGCAAAATATCCTTAGTATTTTAGAACTATTATTATGCTATCTAAAAGCCAGAGTGAGGTTAAAACAAGAGCCCTATGATTATAAAACTAGTTTCCAAGAATAGGAAATTCCTAGTTAATCTCTTTAAATATTTAAAGATATTAACAGACTCATACTTAAAGATATTAACAAAGTAAGATTTGCTGAGCTTTCAAAGGAAAATTTGCAAAAAGCAACCCACCTTAGAAGGAATAAGGGAAAGTTGAAAAAGGCATCACACAAGCCAAGACTTATAGTGTCTTTTGCATACACTCTAATTATAATTTGGTGGTATGTTTAAATATCGCCATGAAGAGTATTTTCTAGAGATATTGGTGCTAATTCATTGGCAGGAGATATAATTATTAGATTTATTTTACTTTGATTTATAACCTACCTTTTGTACAGTAGCTCAAAGCAATGTACATACTGCTCCTTCCTCCTAATTTTCCCCACAACAATCCTGTGAGGGAGGTTGGGCTGAGAGAGCACAAATGATCCACTTCCCACTCTGAGCTGCCACGGCTAAGGGTGGAACTAGAATCTGAGATAGCCATTAAGTACTATATCATACTGATTCTCTTATTTTATTACCAGATATTTATCTTTAGTTATCTTACTACTGGCTATTATTGCAGTTTTAACATTCAAACTCATATCTTCTCAGTAAGAAATAAGATTGGTCTCCTTTTCCAATAGTTGTTTCTTTGATTTCCATGGATGAAGATGTTAATTATTAGCATTTATATAGTGAAAGGACCTACTGTAGAAATTAACTTAAGAATGTAATAATAGGGACAGATTATTTTGTGAAACAAAAATGTGTCTTTAAAAACTGCTTTGTGAGGTTCCCCATGTCAGGAATGATCTGTTAGTGTTTTTCAACATGGCTGGCTTGGGAATTCTAGGAGTTGAAGTCCATCCATCTTCAAGTGGCCAAGGTTGAAAAACATTGATCTAAGCTGTGATTTCTAAAGGTTTGAACAACACAACTAGGAATTACATCTTGATTTTACGTTCACATATGAAAACTATTTTAAAGAGTTGATGGTCTGAGTTCAGGAAAAGATGGCATAGAATTTACTGTCCACTCCTGCTTCAAAGTTTGTGCATTCTCTATTATCCTTTCACCATTGTAGCACTTTGGCCTTTTTTCACACCTTCTAGAACAGGAGTGTCAAACTCACCACATCATATTGCTGTCCCGTGATGTTTTGTGACATTTTTCGCATTCGTTGAGCTGGGGTGGGCGTGGTCTGCACATCAGGCCTGCTGGCCGCCAGTTTGACACCCCTGTTCTAGAACTATTCATTGAAAATTAAACCTTGTTTTCATTCTTTGAATTCCTGCTCTGGGGAACTCCTGCCATTAAGAAAGCCATAACTTGCTTATAAAATATGGGGGTGAACACTTTGTAAAAGCCAGCAAAATATCTAGTAAATATAAATATTGAAGTGGATTTTGGTTATTTACACACTGGTCTTGTAGGAAAATAGCTTGAAGCTCATTCCTTCCCATTACTATTTGTTTAATCTTGTTCCCTGTCATAAACATTTCCTTAACTTTAAAAACAAAAACTAAATATACTCTATTTACAGATCGCTCCCGAGAAGCACTGGAGCAGCTGGTTGGACCCAAAAAATTCAAGCAGGTTTCATGGACTGTTTATTGATTTTTGTTTGAAATCACAAGGCATTACTTCTTTAATCCCCCCCCCCCCGCACAAAAGGACCATTTCTGAGAGTCTTCTGATTAATCTGTACATTTGCTGTTGATACTGTAGTCTCAAGTTGGGGAAGAGCAAACATGCTACTCATGTTTCTTTTTCTCCAAGTTAGTGTTCTGCAGTTATCCGTGTTCTGCATTTTTGTGTTCGTGGAAGTTCGTGAAGAGGGCTTTAAGGCACCACTGCTTCTTTAAAAAAAATAACCATGACACTTTTACCAATAAAGGACCAACAGTAAATAAGGAAATGCAAAAAGCAGAGAGAACACCAGTAAGCTAATGGAGCAAATGTCATGGAAGCATCTTCTTTTGCTGCCTGTTCTGCTGTCATTTAGGTGGAGACCAGTTCTATTTCCAGTTGTCCCTTGTAACAGGAGCCATGATTTGTTTGTATCTGAATAAAACCTCCTTCAAGTTGTACAGTGCATGAATTTCATTTAATTCTGTTAATATCCAGTCATAGAATGTGTTTGTAGAACTCAACATTGTTATTTTCAAGGCAAAAAGCTCATGTGGGCTTTTGCTGATACTGGAGAATGGGATGCCATATATTCCATTCTAATTAAGGAGTTTTTATTTATTTGGTTTGTAACCCCTTCCTTCTTCTCAACTACCTATTAAAGGCAACATAGTAACATTCACTGTAGATTTATTTTTGAAAGCTTTTGCCAAAATAAACATGTTAGTGTGAAAGCTGATGCAAGACTCTTAATTACTTTTGCTACAGAAAACTAACATGAATACTTTTGGGAAATTATCCCACTAAGACATTATCATTGTCTTTAGTAATAAGAAAAATATTGACCAGCATGGGTTTTGACATTCTCTAGATAGATATAGTAATGTTCTACTCTTTCCTTTCATTATGCATTACTACTAATTGTTGTTGAATAGGGATTTTAACATTCTTCCTAATCAAATAATGTAGCACAACTTTTAAGAAGTCCCATCCAGCACTCTTTAGGACAGTACATGGAGTAAAGTGAGACGAAACACAGAAAATACAAAGCTTGATCAAACCTATGTGAATAGTTGCGTTGAAGCAGAAAGCAGCCTTTGTGAACATATTCACAAGAACACAGAAGTAATTGCTTCTGTATGACAATTATTAGCTTAATAGAAGTCAAGCCAGAAAGATCCACTCATTTGCAAACATGAGTAATAATAAAGTCATGCCAGAATGGATAAAACAATATTCCATTTCAGACCAGGATGTTACATCAAATATGTGCTAGAGTGGCTGACCAGACATGATAGATAAGAACCAACAATCGAAGATCAAACATTTATCCTCATAAATGTATCCCGGTAGATGCCTGTTATAGAATAATATGAAAAGACGACAATGTTCTGGAAATCAAAATACAGCAAACTGTCCCAAGGTTCCCCCCCCCCTTCCTAGATGGATCATCCACCGACTACCCAGTACCAACAACTGAATTTAGAAGTTTCATTAGATATAAAACTGCTGTTGATAGGCCACCCTCTACCAATAAAATTTATTGTAATTCGCATAAGCAGTACTGTGTATATTTTTTAAACAATGCATTCTCAACCACAAAGTTTTTTGTACTGTCCTCTCTAATATGGCTGCAAATAAAGTGTTTTAAAACTATTGGAATATACATAGTGATAGAGGCTAAAATCTCCGTGTATGAGAACTGGAATTCAAGAGATTCAAAGTAACGTCAACTGATTTAATATTCCTAAAGACCTCTGAAAAATTAAGGCTGATAATTCCAGATAATAGTTTTGGTTGAACCGTTGTATTCTTCCGGTGATGATTGAGGGAGAGTGTATTCACTAACTTTGTGCAACTTTCTCTGAATTCTGTTGGTCACAAAATAGGGTCTGCCAGGATCCCCGATCAGCAATCCAGTCTTGTCATCCTGGATGCACTTCTTCAACCATTCAGAGAGGCTGTCTGCAAGTTCTTCATTGTAAAACATGTCCCCTAAGACAATAAGGTCCCACTTGCCTATATCTGTACCAATCAGGTTCTCTGTTAAAACAGGGATGGGGTCTATGTTGTTCAGCTCACAGTTAAGCACCATGGCAGCAGCTGCAACTGGAATACCAAGAAAATAACAAGGGCAACGTCAACATCATTTCTCTCAAAATCCAAGATTAACAAATAACTTTGTACAATTAAAACACTGGGTAATGTTTTTTTCTTTTTCAATTGCTGTAGAAAAGGGTGCAGGAAAGAGCTGACGATTGTGACTTGAAATTTTGACCTAATCTTGTAAAATGTAAATTTTAGGTTACATTTCCTGGAGAAAATCTGATGCAAAGTAAGGTTCTTGTTTTCTAGTTTAAAAAAATGCTTATTACTTGCCTTCCCACTTCATTAGGTCAAACACATCCTCCTACATATACTTTTGCCATCTCTGATTATTAGTTAAGTTTTTAAATGAAAGACCAGTTAAGTTTTAGTTAAGTTTTTAAATAAGACCAACTGATAGGTTTCCTATGGAGAACACCATAGTACCATTGCCTCAAGTACCTGCAGATGGGAGAATAAGGTAATTGAAAGTCATTCTTCATATCAGTGTTTTTAAACGTGGTAACTAACGTGTGGACTTCAATTCCCAGAATTCCCAAGCCAGCTAGGAGTTGAAGTCCACACCCCTTAAAAGCTGCCAAAGTTGAAAAACACTGCTTTGTATAAAACACATGTTCCAGAACCTGCCAAGTATAGACAAACCTGCATTTCTAGTACTCTATCATGGGAGAGTTAAAAAATAAACATTTGCTGAAGGAGATGAGGAGCTGTTTTCTTATTTTAAAGGCACTTACGATGTGTAAAATTAAACCATGTGACCTATTAACTTTTAGCTTGGTCTGAGATATGAATTCTATCATAACTCGGCATTGTCTCTTTTTTCTTTTTACCCACTTCCCATTATGATTAGAATTCTATTATGTGTGAGCTTGTTGAACAAATCATAGTTTAAGAAACCCGAGTTACCATTATGTGTAAAATCTATGTAGATTTCAAAACTTGGATTTCAAAACATGCTTGACACTGTTAGGTTTATCGTAGTGAACTTAGCTTGTCCTACTTTTGGTAGAAAAATAGCTTACCAGGATCGATATCATTTGCAACAACTTGTGATGCTCCACTTAGTGTAGCTGCAATAGCTGTTGCTCCACAACCACTTCCTAGATCCAGAACTTTCTTCTTCTGGACCACTTTTGGATTATCAAGAAGGTATCTGAAAATGAAGAATAGTAAAAAAATAAATAAACTGTAAAGTCTATTACAGTAACCAGCTCATTTCAAAATGCCTTAACTCAATTTGATCTGAAGTTTACATCTATCAGCAAAATGCTAAAAACTTTATCTTTTAATATCAAAAGTGCTTCATCATCAACTAGGTTGAAATTGTACGAGAGTGACCGAGAGAAATTACAGTTGTTGCAAATTATTATTTTTACAAAGCACACGTCAAGCTGAACTTCAAGAGAGTGAGCTTCTCCTCCTGCAACAAAAATCATATCCATTGGATATCATGGAAAATTCAGGATCTTGATTAATCCTAGGGATCATGAAGGCCACCTCTGGAATTTATAAGGGGAAGGATGTCTTAGTATATAATAGAGTAAAGGTTCCCTTCACACATATGTGCTAGTCGTTCCTGACTCTAGAGGGCGGTGCTCATCTCTTACAAAGCCAAAGAGGCAGCGCTGTCCGAAGACGTCTCCGTGGTGATGTGGCTGCCATGACTAAATGCTAGGTTGGCAGAAGCTGGGACAAGTAATGGGAGCTCACTCCGTTATACGGCACTAGGGATTCGAACTGTTAAACTGCCAACCTTTCTGATCAACAAGTTCAGCATCTTAACCACTGAGCCACCACGTCCCACCTTAATATATAGTGCATTAAGCCATATTTATTTTAATTATTATTTAATAAATAAATAATTGATTTGCTTTCATGAATTGTGCTACCTCAGAAACTATGAGACACAAAAAAGCTAGGCTTACAGCCAATAAAAGCTTGAGCTGTATCAACACAACTAATAAACATAACAGGAAAGAGGATGCTTCAATGGTGGAGGTTTTCAAGCCAAGGTTGGATAGCAATTTCACTGAGATGGTTTCAGTATCTCTATCCTGGGCAGGAGGTCCAAGGTCACCTCTTCCAAACTCATGATTCTCTGAGATAACCAATCAACTGTGGTGCTTTACCTACAATGATCACCAGGGGCAGTGTTAACTGGCTTCAGCTTGTAAAGCCTAAATAGAACAAAACCGGTCACATACTGCCATCTGGTGGTCAATATAAGTAAAGCCAAGGACAGGGGGTAGAATACATATGTAAAAATAGAGAAATTGTTTTAAAAAATCCTTTAAAAGGAGTCGTGGTATGGCATGATGTTTGTAATCCATATCTCTGTGATATGAGAGCTTAAGATGAGGGAAGTAGATCATATATACTTAAAGGTGCCAAGGTTGGAGACCCCTTTTCCATATGCTATTATAGCATCATTCAGTCTGCTTCCTATTAAATTGATTGCACAGCAGGTAACTCTCAGCCTTCTGGTGTTCTATACCTGGATAATCCTTGGCCTCCTGGCCAGTACATTGCCCAGTAGGGCTCCCCGTAGGGCCACAAGGCAGCTTTGTCATGCCAAAACCTGCAATTAGGGGTCAGAAGACGTAATCTTATCTCCGGGGTCAGGTTCCCAGCGTCAATGATTTCGGTATTCTCCTCTAGAAATATTCTCAGCTTGGGGTCTACATGAAGTCTTCCGGATATTCTTCCCCGGTAGCACCTCCAAGACAAACAGCCTCTCTGTCTCTGCTTTAAGTCTTTTCTAAAGCTGGCCCTACCACAAAAGTGCAGCAATCTTCTCCAGCCGAGGAAAACCATGTGTCTTTCTCCCCCGCCTCTAGGCCAATGTCTTCCCAGCTTCAATATAGATCTTTAAAAAGATTTGCCTGGAGCATGTCAAGATTCTCTAATGTCAGCTTGGGAATGAGGAGATCTCATAATACTGGCTTTTCAGAAAGAATGGGCAATGTTCCTGGAAACAGAAGAACAGATTTTTGGTTCCTGAAAAGAAAAGAACAGATGTTTACTACACAGATTGTTAATGTTAATGTTTAATAAATTTAGATGCCGCCCAATCCTAAAAGGATTCTGGGCGGCTTACATAAAAAACAATTTAAAAGAATACTAAAAAAGTTTAAAAAGTAGAAGTCAAAGCAAGTTAAAAAGACACAACATGCACTCAACC